TCTGGCTTCATTTTTCCACTTCAAAATACTGACCAGGCAGAGTTGACAGAGTTCTTCCCTTTCGATACATTTACCAGATGTGCAGTTGCCCATAATGAAAGTATAATTTCTAATGCTGTGGGACTGCAAGGTCAGAAAAATGCAGTGAGAACTATGGCAGCCATACAGTCAACTTTTGGTTATGCGTGAGTAATTATTTGGGCTTCTTAGTAATCAACCTTGCCAAGCAAGTTTGAGTTCTTCTCAGAATGTCAAACAGTTATGTTTCCATCCCATGGAGTACAGTCCTCAGCCATGGAGTATCGTAACAGTAATGAAGTAGTTTAAAGTGCTTGGAATAAACAAACAAACAAAATGAAAACATAGACACAAAATATAATGCTCGGGGGAAAAAAACAACAAACAAAACCAAACCAAAACAACAAAATTGTATCTCAAACTCAGATCATAAAAGTAAAATCCTGGTTGCAAGTTCCACTTGTACAGTTAAAAATTTATTACAAAATATTTTAGGAGGCTATTTTAACAAAATTCTTAAAAAGACTAAGTCTGGGTTGAAATCTGCAAACATTTGATGCAGTTTTAATATGTGATAAGCAGTTGATTTAAAATTCTCTGTGGAATATGTAAGCTGAAGTACACTCTGCTTTTTAACTCCGAGAACAGAAATCCTTCCCAAACATATAAAAATCGCTACTGTTTTCTTGAATGAAAGTTCCCACTGCAGAAGGGCAGACCTCCTCCTCAGCCCCCTGCCCTGCAAAGAGGCATGCTGCAGTTGTTTCATGAGATGCAACAACCCAATGAAGAGTGCAAAAAAATGGCAGGGTTGTTTCAATAGATAGTAACCAGTCTGGATTGTCTTTTCATTTTTTTCCCTTTTAACCTTGGCAAAGACACAAAGGTAATAACCCTATTTTTAAGAATACTGATGTAAATATTTTCACTATTCAGATGAGGGCAAAGGCTTGATGTCTTATTTCATTCAAGTAGTACCAGCAGCCAGTGTTCTATCACATTGCTGAGATTGTATGTAAGATAATCTGGAGTGCAGAGAAACTACTGTGAGCTGAAATGCTAACGTGGCACCAGCAAACGCTTTTTTCAGGCTGTGGTATACTACTGTTGAACCGATCAGAATAATTTGAGAGACCTGTTTAGATTACAGACTGACATAGAATGTGGTTAGTCTGTGTAACATCTACAGTATTTTCTTCAGTTAGAAAAGTCTGAGCAGCTGCAAGAGGACAACTTTAAATTGTGGTATTAGGAAACCAGTATCAGGCTTGAAAAAATGTATTAATCATTCTTCCTACTACTCTTCTTTCAAAACACAAACAATTAAACCATCATTATTTATAAACCCTGACAAATATAAACAGAGTATTTAAACTTTACTGAACTTTAAGTTTTCAAGATCCTTGGTTATTTGTCTTCAGAAATGTGATACTGTCATGTGACAGAGGCTTTGTGCATATAGCTAGAGCTGAATTGAATTGTAAACACTGACCTATGATTCTTTCCCTATGTTTAATGTGTATTGTGTGTAACTAAAAGTGAGGAAAGAAGCCTGGAATAGGGATACAGTTATTCAACCTGATTGAAAGACAGATTTTTGTATATGAGTGCTTAGTTTTAAAGGTCATATCTGTGTATCATATTGTACATCATTTGTCAAGAATTGTATTCTTTGTAAGCCTGTTCTGCAGATTCAAGACCAAAAGGTTAGATTATTGCTCTGGAAGATATACATATATGTATTTATATTTTGATGGGGTTGTCACTTTTTCTGTTCAGTGTTTCTTACCTTTAGTTGGAAAACCTTTGAGGTAATTAAGCTACTGTTTGGATTACTTGCTAATAATTCATGTGTCTAAGTTATGTGAAAGAGATTTCTGTCTTTTTAATCTAGAATAATATACATTTATCTGTCACTTCTCAGTGGAGGAAAACTAAGTGCTATTCAAAAAACTCTGAGCTGAGGTGAAGAAGACTTTTCACTTCTATTTTGTTGAACAATAAGGAACAGAAAGACTCTATTTTTAAAACTTTCCCAAACAGATGTGAATGGTTCATTTTTCAGAAAAAAAAATCACTTGATATGTTTATAGTGAGAACCTAATTCAGAACCTCTATCTCTTTGCTTTTTCTGAGTGGTAACAGTAGACCGTTGGTCCTCTTGGAAATCAAAGAAGCACCTCTCTCAAATGATGTATAAAAATGGTAGGTACTTTTGGAAAATTTGAGCTAAATGGTGTCTCAAAAAATACACAGGAGTTCTGTGAAGTGCTCAGTGTTAGGACATAACTCTTCTGAGTATGATTCCTGCCCTAGAATTATCTTATACTGCTAGTTCTTACCAGACATTTACTAAAGGATAAACTTTCATATCTCTTTTTTCAAGCCAGAGATAAAACCAAGTCTATGAATATGGTAATTTTAATAATGCATTTGAAAGTGGTCTGAAATAACATTAACAGGAAGGCATCTGGCTCCTATTTATGTTAGCCCACCAACTGATGATGGCATCAGTCCATATGTCATAGAAAGAAATAAAAAATATTCTCTGTGAGTAAGAGAATTTTACAATGGAAAATTGACTCTCTAACTTACCCAACCAACACTGGTAGATTTCAGCGGGTATCATATATTCATCCTGGAATACATATGGAAGATGCACATAGAGAAGAAAGCCCAGAAATATAAACACTGAGTCTATATCTGTCTCTGTCTATCTAAGTACAAATAAATATGCAGGCATTGGTTATCTAAATAGAACTCTGGAGTCATATCACAAAATCATTGAATCACAAAATGGTTTGGGTTGGAAGGGACCTAAAAGACTATCTAGTTCCAATCCCCTCACCATAGGCAGGGATGCCACACATGAGATCAGGTGCTCAGAGCCCCATCCAACCAGGCCTTGAACACTCACAAGGCTGAGTAACCTGTGCCAGTGTCTCACCATCCTGACAGTCAAGAATTTCTTCCTAACATCTAAATCTCTCCTCTTTTAGTTTAAAACTGTTCCCCCTTATAAGGGTCCTGTTGGTTCTTAAACTATATATTTATTTGTATTATAGGTATAGCTTCTATTTCAGAAAAAAACAAGCTATTTATAGACATACAAGAATGTTATAGCTTAAAAGCTATGTAATACTCAATTTTTCTTATTGAAAAGCCTGTACCTCCATACTAGATGTCTGAAATTCTGTAGGGATGTCTTTAATCAGGGGGCAGCAACTTGAGAAGTTTCAAAGAAGTCCATTAACTTCTGGGTTATGAGAGTTTTAGAGGTTAACAATTCCACAGATATCTAGTCCCTTCTGTATCTGTGTGGTTCTTTGATTATTCGGTTTGAAAGGCTCAACTCAAACAAAGCATCTTTATTTAACAAAAATTCAAATTTAAATTTTGGTTATGCTGTGTATTCAAAGTATTAACTGACATATGATTTAAAATCTGTTCATTATCATTCCAGAGATCCCAAAAATGTAGTGTAACTTGGATAAACACACGTTACAAAGAAACAGGAAGGGAGCTAAGCTCTCTAGAGATCTCTGTTTCAGTCCCATCCATTCACTACCCCACACATACATCTAAATTTTTACTCAATTTAGCACCAAAGGTAGCTCACCAGCACTGTAAGTGTACACACCCTCTTACTCTCTTTACTGATGTAATAATTTTAAAAGAGGAATGCCTTGTTTCCATAATTCTCCCCTCTGTATAAATACTATTTGTGATATTTGCTAAGTTGAAAGTTGTTCTTCAGTTTGCACAGCAAAATATTTGTGACATAAAATAACTGAAGCCACCTATGCTAGATAACATACAGAAATGCTAAGAAATAATCAACCCTAGGTCCTGCCTCATGTCATCACTATGGTTTCTCCACCTGTAAAATAAGGAAAAGATATTGAGTTACTTTGTGAAATACTCTCAAATCTGCAGATGGGAATCTCTATACAGGAACAAGGTATTTGTTATTGTAACTGATATTAGTAATAGAGAGTAAAATCTAAGTTTTGGAGAACCAGCTTACACACAAAACTCTTGCTAATTTAGACACCCTTATAGAGATGCAGGTAAGTGTAAATAAACATTTGCTTTAATATATCCTTTTACAGTACAGACCATCCAAGCAGCTGTACAGTAAGTGAGTATTCAACAAACTGAGGTGACAGTACCTTCTTTTCAGACTCTTAAAGGAGAGAGGATTCTGGATGGGGAATGAAAAACATCAGACAGTCTGAAAAGACATGCCTAAAAATTTGAAACCTTAGGAAAATGTTTATGATAATCTGGATAATGCCTGCAACACAATATACTTTTTCACTGTACTCGTGTTCCCTGACATCACTCTTGGCCTTAAGAATTGAAAATGAGGGCCCAAAAAAAAGTTTCCAGATTTCCATAGATAATGTTGCCTTCTAGTAGACCTGGGTTTAACCGAACTTAACTTCCTAACATTCCAGGAAAACTCTTTTTATATGTTTTTCCACTGTTGAGATGTCAAAACTCTTTATTTAGTTCCACGTACCTTTTTCTAGAAATAATCTGCTTTCATGTCTGACTTGCAGAATAAAACACTGCATGCTTCAACAGTGAAATGAGTAATATTAACCTCTATAGCAGAATATAAAACAAAGCTGTATTATCTCTTTGTATGAATGTTAATTTATGAATATTTATTCATTTTAACATATTGTCATTCTTCAGGTTGTGAACATCTTCCATAATACATTTTCTTACTATTTTTAGTTTTAGCATTTTGCTTTGGTGTCTTGATTTTACCTAATCTGGACAAAAGAAATGAAGTATCACTTTGGCTATAAGTAATTTGCAGTCCATTCTCTTGCCTAATTCTTTCCACCAGGTTGACACTAATCCATTGTGATGGTTTCAGTCTAGGCCTTCCTGGAAACCAGCTTGTAACCAGGAAGGAACTAGGAAGGTGACCAAGGAAGTATTCCATGCTATTCCTTTACGTAACCTAGGGTATAAATAAGGCATTGATAAGATAGTTCGCTCTCTTCTCTTCTGGGGAGGTTGGAGAACGGTGGTCCCTGTCTGGGCCTGGCTTATCTGGAGCTGAGGCCTACAGTAACTGCTGTTATCGGCCACGCGTGAGGGGGGAGTGCTGGGCTGTGTCCAGACGTACTGCTTTCTTTCAAGGGAAGTGGTGAGCTCTTGCCAATTCTTCAGCTTTGCTGGGTTTTTAGATTGTGTAGATCTGTTTTATTATTTGTCCCTTTTCACCCTATTTTTATCCTTTTCCCTTCTCCCTTCCCCCCTCTTCCCTTCGACTTCGGGAAGCTATTTGGGGTCATAGATTTATATACATATAATTCTCATTGTATATCTCTGTTTTATACATAATATATATATATTTTTGCTAGAACTTTGGCTGCCTGGTTTTTCGTTTTTTTTCCTTTCCTCTCTGGGAAGGAGACCCTGTTGTCGAGTTTCGGAGACTTGGCAGGAAGCCAGCTCCAAACTTGCACATCCATGGACAGTGTACGTGAAAGTGTGGCCCAACAAATCAGTGAATAAAACAGAAACAATCCATACCCTTTACTGCAACTGGAAGCTATAAATTCTATAAAGACACAGCTGTGGCTTTGTTGCAGGTTTCAAGTAGTTGGCTACTGTGCAGGTATGCTCCCTCAGAATCACATCTGAAACCAAAATATAAATCAAAATATTGTAATTCAATCACTAGATTTCCTCCATTCCATCTCTTAAAAGATGTCAAAACCACCACCCTTGCCTTAAGCATTTTTCATGCCATTCTATAAATTCGCCAAACGTACTTTCGTCTGAACGCACATAAACTGTTCCCTTTAAATCAAATGAGAAACTACAAATAACATTAAACCTCATTTCAGATTCAGATTCAATTGCAGATTCAGAGTACAGTTAAATTTAGATTTATTTCATTAAATACTTTGGATTAACATGATTAACATGCTGTGTTCTTTCTGCAGATCAAGAAGACTTTTTTCCATTTGAGAACGCAATATTTCTGACCAGGTACATGAAGAACCTACAGCAAAAAACACAACACAGTTCAAGCATTTCCTGTAAGAATTACCTTTGAATTATAAGATAGTAACAGACTTGTTTGTGGTTTCAGATATTAACTGCTTAGGTGTTTATAAAATTACAGATTTCACTGATATTCCACATCCTTCTAATATTTCTTCACTAGAATGGTTTTATTATTGGTCGGTAGACAAACTCAAGCGGAATCATTTCTGGATGGATATCTGCTCTACACAAATGGTTTTAGCAAGCTTCATGGCTATTCTGGGATATATACTGGGAAAAAATTAAACTGATATGAATCCTCTCATTACTGTCTTTTTTTCAGAATTTTTGTGATGAAAGATTAAAAATATGTTTCATGTGCCTGTCCAAGCAAGCAGTGCTTCATGAAAAATATAAAAACTACCTTCAATATTATTATCTGCTGCACATTTTGTTATATTTTTTTCATGCAAGGCTGCATTCCTCTGCCATCTAGTTTAGTAGTGGACTGTGAAGTTTGAGAACAAACCTAAACATACAGTCGAAGCTCCTCTACGACAGACTAACATATTATATGAAATTACTGCAGGAATTCAGCCAATAAAGCAGGGTTACCTACAGCTTCTAAACACAACTGGAAAACCATAAAAGTCAGGCAGAAGTAAAGAGAAAAATAAGAAAAGTATGTATCTTCCTTTTATGCTCTGAAGTACAACAAATACCAACAGAAGGGTGGGGATGTCCTCCAGTAAACTTTGCTTCACTAACATTTTAGGAAATGAACAATAGTGACAAGAGTTAGCAGAATTTGTGTCCTCCAGCAATAGAAAATCAATAATCTACACCTACTGACTATTAGTTTACCTAAGTAGTCAGAAATTATACTTTTACGTGTTGTATTGAGTGTAACTAAGTCACAGGTGTGCATTTTGGGCACCACTTTGATGCGAAAGTTTTACAGAATTTTATATTCTTGTAAGAGGCCTTGAAAGCTTGGCTATAAATGGATGAAAAAATGAGCAAGCAAGGTATGTAAAAAGAGGAAGTTGGTCTTTATTAGACCAAAAAATAGAGTTGAAAAAAACAGATAAGTCTTATCCTTGTGTTTACTTTTTTTGACATTATTTTTATAGAACTACATCTGTTTCATCTTATTAAAACTGATGATTTTCCCATGGTAGTTTCTCTTTTAAATAACTGGGCTTTTTCTGAGATCTTGGTTTCAAAATTAAATTCATTAAGGTTTCAAAAGTCTCTCAGATACAACTAGCTGTGGAAAGTTTTACCTGCGTTTGAATTCTCCAAATTTCTCTTCATAAAACTATTAGTACTGACAAGTCAGAGCATGCCTCCCATTTAAGTCCTGACTTTTTCAACTGTAACTTCACTGTAGTATTCTGCAAATTTCTGTGCAACATCAGCCATATGGCTTTTTCCCTTAAAAACTTCATATTTAAGATCTTCATTTAAGCAGTAGGAAAAAATCTGAGACAGAACCAATGTCCATATTCAGATTTGTGAAAATGTTAGGGATAGCTTCCCTGTTATTGATGGCATTTAATTTTGAAAGTGGTAGCTCTTGTTCCTGGCATAGTACAATGATTTGTGGTTCCTTTTAAAACACATTTCCACGCAGACATACTTTGCATTTTTGCTGGTAAAGCAAGTGCAAGAATCCACACGGCGGATTGCCCGGTTCACACAGCTCTTCCATTCCACAAAGGCTATCCAAAGTGAGTGCAGATCTCCTCCAGCCCCAGCAGGTCAGGAAGCTGTGAGAGGATGCATTGTGTCTGAATGTTTTAAGGTGATCTCTTGTAATTGATTGGTTTGGGGTTTTTTTTGATTCAGCTGAACACTGCTTGTTTCATGCTAAAAGTTATACCACATTACGTCTTTGATATAATAAAACGCCGGGTGTGAAGTGCAGCTAAGCAACCAAGAAAATGCTAGACCTTTTTAACAGGTTTTTGTATTAATAAAAATTGCAGCTTCTAAATGTGAACTTCAGAATACCTAGGAAGAGATAAAAAATTTGGAAATATCGTTCATGAAAGCAATATCATTCAAGGGCCTATGCTACCCTGTCACAGAGCAAAAATGAAGAGCAAAACCATGAAGCAGGTTCTAATAAATATTATTTTTCCCTGTACACTGACACATTACAAACCTGAATGTAATACCAGAAAAAGGCAATAGCAAAAAGCAGGGGGGATCTGTACAATGACGGCAGTTTTGACTGTACCACAATGACCGAGACCCCTCACTTGTAACTGAATCCTGATACTTTAATGGAAACCTCTATTTATTTTTATGTGCCACTTAAGGCACATAAACACTCATGGTTTTGTTTTTTTTTTAAAATGCTTTCTTCACTCTCTGGTAGTGACAGGAACTATCCAGAGGGTTGCTGTTTGTATGCTCTACCTCTTTCAACTTTTGGTCACATAATTAATTGTTTACCATTACTATGACAACACTGACTGCTACAGCAACACTTAATAAACTGACACTAGAAAAGAAAAGATAAAAGAAATGAAAAGAGAAGAGAAAAGGAATCAAAGAAAGCACATCTTGCATGAAACTGCAGGAAGATAAAACATTTTTACTTCAGCTCACTTGTTGCAGGACCAGATTCCATTCCCCTTTCTCACTCAATCAGTTAAGGCACAACACTGATTAAGCAGAAAAAAGCTAACAGAAAGAATCAGACTATCCTAATTTACCCCATGAGGTTAAGTTTCCCACTTTTGCAGAGCTCTTCTTAATTCTCACCATACTTATGACAAAAGAAAGCTTCTTTTAATAGACCTTAATTTAAAATCAGCCACCATCACTGTTTTTACAAGTTATATGAATCATTCAAGTCATAAGTACCAGATAATTCTTCGTGTATTTAGTTTCAAAGAACTCTTGTACAAGCACTCTAATGAGCTGGGCAAACATTTTGAAGAGGGAAGACTGAGATACAGAAAAAGTAAAATATCAGACACTTGACTTAGTGCATATAGTGTAACGAACTGCAGTTGAGAGTAAAAGCATGATATCACCTTATGTTTCCTCCTAGCCATGGCAAGTGTGAATTAAAAGCATGGCCTTTTAGTTCAGAAATGCTCTATGAGAGACATCATGCTATCTTAAATCCTAATTTAAAAGTCATAGAAACCTAATCTATCACAGGAATATTTCATCACTACTGCATTCAGTCTCAGAAGGCTCAAAACAACCTGTATATGTTATTTTTGTTCATATAATGAACAGTTACCAGCATGGCCAAATTTATAAACGTTCTAAGTTTCAATTTAAGTTTCAAATTAAATTCCAGCTCACAGGGTGGAAAATGCTATTCTCCTCATTTAAAAAATTGACAGCTCTTAGTGGGCTCTGACTGTTGCTTGTACTGAAGATTTTTCAACCGAAATAGGTATTGATGGCTTTAGATTTTTATACATTAGGTAGAAGTGGTGGACTTTCCCAAAGGTGGTCAACACCCTTACTAAGTTATCTTTGCAGAAATCCTAACTGAAGAAGTGCAGGGTGCAGATTAAGTCTGAGTAAGAAGACAGTTTGAGGACAGGGCACCACACGATAACTGGAAGGCTTCTGAGAGCACACGGTATCTCTGTGAACATCTTAAGGGTGTCCTGAGGTAATGAGATACTTCAGCTGCCTGCATGGGCAAGTCTTTTGTAATGCTTAAAAGGTAGGCTGTAATACATGAAAGGGAGACCTTTAGGTGAGTAGACCAGAGGTTCTTAAGCATCAGTGTGACAGCAGGGATACCACATAAACTCTGAAAGTCTCTCCCAGAGAGTTAGCAATTTATGACCTCTCTTTGATACAAATACAGTGGAGGTTTTTGATCTGCCAAACAGAAAACCAAGAAGTGGCAACTTATTTTCTTCTCATAACCATTTTCAGTAAATCTCTCTCTGGCCTGCAGAACAAGCAGCACAGGAGTATCACAGAGCTGTTTCTAGAAATACTGTATGCAACTATGAAGAATGCCTGTTTTGTTAATATATTATTTTCATGGTTCAACCCCCATCTACTACTTTGATATATTTTAGTTGCATTAGTAAGATAACCACCACCCCTAAATACACACATTGCAATGCTCTCAAAAGAAAGTTTATGTCTTTCCAGCGTAATGCCAGATACTTTCTGCCTTTTAGAAACTCTCATAAAATAAAAGAACCTGTTGTTTTGTAATACTTGACATTAACCCCAGGAATACAAGACATCAGTGGGCAAAATAATAACTGAAATTGGGAAAGTACCTGTGACAGAATTGATTCCAACATGGTGCAAAAGGCAGACAGAGAAGACAGTTGTTACTGTCCACCTTCTGCCTCTGAACAGTTGTTATGCCCATATTGTTTCCTATCAATAACTACCAGTGGCAAATACAGTAGCATATCTTTCATCTTCACATCAGTAAGATAACTTTCCAAGGAGTGCTGGTATGAAAGGGAAAATCCATCTCTTTATATCCAGGTTTTCAGAATGCTTAATTTACATACAATGCAGGTGAAAGTTAATTACACCAAATTTGGTAATTTTTATATTAGTATCTTTGTAAATAGGAGTCTAAATTCAGGATTTATGTCCAAGACTCATGGAAACAATTTATTCCACATAGATTTATAAAATGCTGTTAGTAAACAAACCAACCCAAAAAATCTAATTGAGTAAGTAATATATTTAGCAAGGAAAATCAAATAATTTTTTTTATATATTATGTATAAAGACTGTATTGTATCAGATGATGCCACATTCTGGTATCAGTTAGCATTGTTACAAAACGTAGGCTTATTTCAAGAACTGTAGTCTGAAAAACATCTTTAAGTGGCATCAGGTCTGAGCTGACATGATACAAGTTATCTGAACTTCTTTACAGACAAAAGTAATGAAACAGAAATATTCCATTCCTTTTCTCCACTGCTTTGCCCTCAATAAAGTAAGTCACTAAATCTTTGAGATACTTTCTGCAATCTTTGCTGAGTTGTATTCTAATCTCATTCAGCAGACAAGATCCAAAAAATGAGCTTGG